CGCAGGTACCCCTTTGCAAGCTGGAGAGGATACATCAATCTTAAAAATCGCCGGTTGCTTGTCAGGAATTGTGTCGCACTTCTTCCTGTTCACAGTCGCGCCGATCAAGAAGCGGCCTGTCTTTCGGATTACTTCTGCGTCGATGTGTTATCAGCACATGCGTCGAGGTTGCAGATGGTTTAGATCTCTTAAGCATCTCGGTATCTCGCATTGCTTGATTTGTACCCCGCGCTGTACCATATTTATGCACATGCATGCGGTGATGGTCGGTGTAAATTATAATACTAACCGTAAGATTACGGAATCTGCTGGCAATCAACAATTCCGTTCCCTGTCCGTCATCCCGCTTCTAGGTCCTTGGCGCCTCATCTGAACACCCAGCTGCCGGGTTCCAGTTTGCCAACTCCCGCTCCCGACACAGGCACCGGAACCCGCCTGACAGCTCAGCCGCATCCTTGTTGTTCAATCTTTTGAAAAGAAAGACAAGAGAATAATTAGTTCTTCTGTCTTCTAATCTATTGTCAGGTTGTTGTCTGCGTATACACTAAAAAAGGTGTCATCCAAGATAATAAGTCTTAAATTACACAAAGCGCCTCTCAGGTTCCAGTCCTCATCTCTCCATCAGGAGCCATAATCCCGGCTTTCGACTGGCCTTCCATCGGCTTGCGTCTTCCATCTCGTTTCCGCTCCCCGACCACCCAACCAGGCCCTCATCTCACAGCCCTTTTTCTTTTCCTTATAAACATATCTATAAAGTGCCCGTCATCTGCTACGAGACATTTCCACGAACGCCGGCGCTCATTATTGCGCTCACCGAGACCTCCGGAATGGATCACCCGTGCTAATCACAGAGCCGACTTGTCGCATGCCCCACCGAAGTGCCCGTTCGTTACCTTGGCCTTAACGATACAACAACGAAACAGACTGCCCTTACAATGCTGCTCCTCCACCAAGCCGGCAGCGTCAAGACTGGCGAGGTGGTGCGGTATACCGTGACTTACACGCCCTCGGCCGATCGTATTCTCCCGTCGCCCGAGTTTCTCTATTTGCGAATCAAGAATACTTGCGCCATTGCTCTCCGCGCCGCTTTTGTTCACGGCCCTTACACTCTGTCGGTTGCTGCATATCCATCACACTTCAATCCGAATGAGAAATTCGAGGAACCCCGCCGCTATGGTGTACCCGAGTTCGAGCCAAATCTCAAGGCCGCTGCGGTTTGGAATTGCCATCTGGTAGTTCCTGACAATATTCGCCAAACTGCAGGCGAGGGAAGTAGCAAACATGGCTTCTTTGGAAATGGCCCGGCGCATGAAGGGGAGAGCGTGTCTTGGATCATAGAGGTTGCCTCGCAGGTCATGTTTTCAACCTCGGCCGCCGTACACTACGAAATTCTACTGGCACGCGACGAAAAGTCCTTGAATCTTGGCTCGGTGGTGCCATTAATAGGCGGTCAATCTCAAGCGCCACAGCCAGGACGTGTCAGCGATTTCCAGCAAAGTGCAGGAGCTATGAAGGATCATCCCGCCCAGCCAAAAGGTATCTACTCAAGGGCGATACATCTCAAAGTGGAGGATACAGCCAGCTTGTGGAACACGCCTCAACTCCCAGGATGGGATGAGATGGGTTGGCTTCGGGCTAGGAGCGCGGACAAATCTGATGCCCCAGTGGAGCCTGTAACGGAATCTGGCCGGCCTGGTACTGCGAAACGGTCTGGGAAGCAGAAAAAAGTCCACCTGGTTATCGTCACACACGGCTTACATAGTAACCTCGGTGCAGATATGCTGTTCCTAAAGGAGAGTATTGATGCTGGGGTGAAGAAAGCAAAACAGGATGCCAAGGCACGAAGGGCTCGAGAGAGAGCTGCAAAGAAGGGTCAAGATCCATCAAATAGCTCAGGTCCGGAGTCAGATGGTGAAGGCGACGCGATAAAAGAACCTCGGAAGCAGGCTGACGGTGATGATGAAGAAAGCGGCGATGATGATGGCGAAGAAGTGATAGTGCGCGGCTTCTCTGGAAACGCAACAAAAACGGAAAGGGGGATAAAGTATCTGGGCAAACGCCTGGCTCGGTTTATTCTGTCCATGACCTATCCCGACCAGCCGTGTTTGCCGACGGCGAAGGCAGCCTCGGAAGCAATTGCCCATTCTTTGAAGGCCAATGCGCACAAGAAGGTCTCGGAGGAAGCTCACAAACACAGTTCGGTACAGCACGCTCCCTCGCCAGTTGGTGACAGGCTGTACAAGTTCACCAAAATCAGCTTTATTGGTCATTCGCTTGGCGGTCTGGTCCAGACCTACGCAATAGCCTATATCCAAAAGCACTCGCCCCAGTTTTTCGATCTTATCGAGCCCGTAAATTTTATTGCCATGGCCTCGCCGCTTCTTGGGCTCAATCACGAAAATCCGCTCTACGTTAAATTTGCTCTGGATTTTGGTTTGGTGGGGAGAACAGGCCAGGATTTGGGCTTGACCTGGAGAGCACCGACGATTGCACGGAATGGATGGGGCGCTCTGGTCGGCAATCTTGGGGAACAGGCGCACAAACGTGTTTATGGTGAGGCTCAGCCAGAGTCTAAACCACTGCTTCGGATTCTGCCAACAGGGCCGGCCCATAAGGCGTTGAAGAAGTTCCAAAACCGAACTGTGTACTCCAATGTTGTCAATGATGGCATTGTACCTCTTCGCACGAGCTGTCTTCTCTTCCTTGACTGGCAAGGGTTGGGAAGGGTGGAAAAGGCTCGCCGTGAGGCTGGCTTAGTAGAAACTGTCGTTGCATATGGATGGGCCGAACTCACAGGAGCCACTGCCACCACTCCACGACTTGCCGCCTGGACTCCAGTCGAAGAAAGCAAGGACAAGGAGGCGGCATTGGATACTGGCAAAACGACACCTACTGGTTCCGGAGATCTGACAGAAGTGCCTCAACCTCCGACCAATGCCATGCTTGAGGATGATCACCAAAGCCTTAGGTCGGCTGCTAGCCCCTTCCAAGAACAGCCCGCTTCTCCTGAGCTTCAGAAGCTTCAGAGCTCAACTACAACTACCTCAAACCCCCTTTCCGGGCTCTTCAACTTTTTCCGCAGTGAGGCTACCAAGACACCCCCGCCTCCATCTCCGAAGATCAATAAGATCTACCAAAGAAGTCAGACGCTTAAAACGGACAGTCTCACTGCTTCTAATTCCGCAGCATCATCTAGATCGGGGGTAACAACCGGGACAGAGCTTGCCGAGGATGCAGAGGGAGGAGTCACGGCGCCCCCGACGACTTCCATTTTTGAGTCAGCGGGTGATCTCCTGAATCCCAAGATAGCCTCGGTGGAGTATCTCATCGACCCTTCCAAACGCCCTCGAACAATATTCCATGACAGGGTATATCACCCATCCGACATTCCTCCGCCTCCTATCAAGGAACGAACATCTAGTCCGCTCCTCATTCGTCGACGATCCTCGCAATCCCGTAACATGCCTGGTACTGCCCAGAAAACTACACAGACCGATGCCGCTTCTCCTCCTCCTCCTCAAGCCTCACCGACAGCCATAAGCCACAAAGACACTGGACTTTCCCAGTCAACGCAAGCATCAACTCAATCGTCCACATCCGCCCAATCACGAACCACATCAGGTTATGCATCAACGATCCACACCACCGCCTCCTCTGATCTGGACGCTTCCACCGGGCCCTCAGAAATTATCGACTCGTCTCAGATGCGTGTTGAGGAGAAAATCGCCCGTGCATACCATCGCGGTCTCTCCTGGCGCAAAGTCCTGGTGAAACTTGAGCCAGATGCGCATAACAACATTGTTGTCCGCCGCATGTTCGCGAACGCATTTGGCTGGCCAGTTATTCATCACCTGGTGGAAGCACACTTCAGTGATGAGGCAACCTGCAAGATAAGAACCGATGACGAAACCAATAAGGAAAGAGCGAAACCTTTACAAGAATCCCCCGATATCACTGGAAAAGAAACCAAATCAGACAAGAAATTGGAGGAAGCGGAGCGTGACGACACGGTCCCCGAGCTTATGCCGAGTCCTAGGAGGAGTCCAATTAGCAGTCGACAGCCGAGCAGTGATTTCCTCTCTAGTGCGAATGCGTTGGGTGTGTTCTCCGGTGGTAGCAGCGGTGGCGATGGAAAGGGAAAGCTGCTGAGGGTGGATTCAATGACTTGGAGTGATAGGGATTGGGCGGACAGTGAAGGGGATTTGAGTGATTTGGATGTTGGAAATGCGGGTAAGGCTACTCCTAGGGAGGGCCAGACGCCGATTGTTGCGCCGACGCCGATGCACATACAGCCTCCAAAGGAGAACGAGAGGGAAAGGGAGAGGAGTATCAGTCCGTGGAATCTGAACTGGACTGAGAAAATTGTTGGGAAGGGTGCTGGTGGTGGGAAGAAGGTTGTTAATAACGATGGGAAAAAAGTCGGAGCAGAGGTAGTTAGTGGAAACAAAGAAAGGGGCATAGATGGAGAAAGAGGAAGGGAGGGTGGCCCTGCTGGGAAATAGGTCAGAGATGCATAATCAGTTAGCTTGCTAGACTTGTCTGTCTAGCAGAGGAAGAGTATTGGACGATTAATGGGGTAAAGGACACCGACATTACACTAGCACATGGCGTTTATTCAGAGATACATATTGCATAGCGAAGGAAGGAGGGATTGTGCTTTTTTTTTTTTTTTTTTTCTGCGCGGTGGGTGGGTTGGATTTTGGATTTTGTTTTGGTATAGAGAGGCTGAATGTAAAACGAAAGAGTACTCTGCATACAAATGATTACTGCGGTCTGGCATTGGTCTTGTGGAGCAATGGACGGTATGGACTTGTTCCTCTTTGTTTGTGTTCTCTTTCAGGGGGCTGTTTCTTGACATTTTGGTAATGATGTGAATATCTTTGAAAGACACGATTTATTGAAGTGATTAAGTGTAATTACCGTCGAGGCAGTGAGATCTCAAACCGCTCACGAACGGACTTGGAAAGAATTTTGGGTTTTGCATATAACCAATCACCACAGGGCGTGTGGCTCAGTTGGTAGAGCGCCCGCTTAGCATGATCCTGCCTTGTCAGGAGCTCAAAAGCTCATGCGGAAGGTCCCCGGTTCGATTCCGGGCTCGTCCAAATCTCAACATCTTTTTGGTCCTTTTTTTTTTTTTTTTTTTTTTTTTTTTTTTGGTTTGGTTTGGAGATATTGACAGTCCTGACTCGGAATCGTAAGAAAATTCAGTTCAACTGGCACCATATGTCCATCACAGGGTCTGATTAGCTCGGAACGGAGCTAAATACTTACACAGTATGTCAAATATTTTTTTTTCTTTCCTTTGGGAACCGTGATGGTCCCTGGAGTTGCGGGACCGGTCACGCAATCCCGACCGCGCAGATTTTGGGTTGGAGTGTAGGGTGGGGGAAAATGCGGGTTAGTCCCTGGTGGGTGGGATTTTTGTTAATTAGGGTAGGAAACAAGGAACGGTTTTACCGGGTTACGTTTAGAGTGTCTTTTAACATGTCCTGTACATATCCATGCCCTTCATCCTCCATCCATCCATCTATCTACCTCTTTCTCTTATCCTCTTTTTGGGGTGCAAAAGGGGGTGTGTTTAGAAAGTGGCGTGGTTGTGTGGTGATATTTAGTGAGAGTGTGGGATAGGAAAACGGTTACTGGAATCTATTTGAGGTACATACATACTGTGCTAGATTGAGTACCTAGGTAGGTAGTTCGGCTACATAGCAACGGATAAGCCCGATCTTTGGGTTGCGTCCATTTTGTTGATTCCTTCAATCACCGCAGGCACGAAAGGATGCAAGCCGGATGTTGTTGTTCGAGACTAGGTACGTACCCGGAGTAAGAAGGTCTAGGTTGACCGCCTTTTTACAACTTCTGACCGGACCGCCGACATGATCAATGATCACCTGTTTTTTACATACTGTGTCGGGGTTGTTTGGATAGAGACAGTATGTGTTGTCAATACATGAAGACCAAATAGAATAGGTAGTTTGCAATTGTCCTCTGTCGTCAGGCCACGAAGGATAAATGGCGGCTAGGTTAAGTAAAGGGACGTAGTTCCGCATCTTTCTTTTTCTCTCGCGGACTTTCTTTGGGTCTCTTTCGATGCAACTGAGTGTTGCTACAGGGTCCACATTCATGAATAGACAAAGTGTGGAAGACCAAGCTGTTCGCTCGGGGTCCAAACTTCAACAAGAAGAGAAAGTGGGCCGTGGGGAGATCAGTGTGGGAGGAATGCACAGTGTCATCCAATGAGCGTCACTCCGGGTACGGCGAGCTTGACCTCTTCGCTGCATCATCTTTTGGCGCACTGTGGGCAAGAAAGCCGCCGGTGCACTCCCGGTCGGTCCCCGCGGTGCCATTCCTCATTGATTCTTCCCGAGTCTTTGCTCTCGGTGTCTCTCTCAACTCCTTGGTCTCTTTCTAGAGCTGCCACCGCTTCTCCCTTCCTTCCTTCCAATTTTTTTTTTTCAGTTCGTTTCTTTTTCTCCTTTTTGTTCCTTCTCTGACGGTTTGGGGGCTCCCCGTGGCGCCACAGCGAATCACTCCAGCCAAGTCCCCAGTGTAAGCCGGACATACACCTCATCAGAAGAGGTACCCCAAGCACCAATTACCCCTCCAAGGAATTGTACATGTCGAGGTGTACCAAAAATTGATTGACTCAAGTATGACTCCCGTTCCCTTTGGCTTTCTGTCTTTTCTTCGTTTCCCTCTCCCTTGATATTCTTCTTCCTATTGTTTCCTATGCCTTTTTTTTTCATTTCGGGTTGGATCTGGTTCCTGAGAAGTCAATCCAGAGTTCTGCTTTGTCCTCGTCCCGCCTCTCCTGGCCTTGGACCTCAACCTCTCACTTCCATTACTTAGGTTGACATAAATATATTTTTGACTTCCCTCCTTCATCCCCACCCCACCGCCTCTTTACCAGCAGCAAGAAATCAAGACCAACGGGGACAGCCAGCTAACCCAAACCAGTCTTCCGCCATTGTCTGTCCAGATTGACGACTCGAATAGCTGCCCATCATGCATATCCGCGAGATGCTCGCCGATGCCGAGAGGACGGGTCAGCCGTCCTTCTCCTTTGAATACTTCCCTCCAAAGACGGCCCAGGGTGTACAGAACCTCTACGACCGCATGGAGCGCATGCACAACTGGGGCCCCAAGTTCGTCGACATCACTTGGGGTGCTGGTGGCCGCATTGCCGAATTGACGTGCGAGATGGTTGTTCAGGCACAGACGTACCTCGGACTCGAGACTTGCATGCACCTTACGTGCACCGACATGGGCGAGGAGAAGGTCAATGATGCTCTGAAGAAGGCGTACAAGGCTGGCTGCACCAATATCCTGGCGCTGCGTGGTGATCCTCCACGAGAGCAGGAAAAGTGGGAGGCCACGGCTGACGGTTTCCGCTATGCCGGTGATCTCGTCGAACACATCCGGAAGACCTACGGCAACCACTTCGATATCGGCGTTGCCGGCTACCCCGAGGGCTGCGACGACAACAAGGACGAGGATCTGTTGCTGGATCATCTGAAAGAGAAGATTGACAAGGGTGCCTCGTTCATTGTTACCCAGATGTTCTACGATGCCGACAACTTCGTCCGCTGGGTTGAGAAGGTCAGAGCACGTGGCATCACTGCGCCCATCATCCCCGGTATCATGCCCATCGCCACCTACGCCAGTTTCCTTCGCCGGGCGAACCACATGGACTGCAAGATTCCCAACGAGTGGATGGCTAGGCTCGAGCCGGTCAAGAATGATGACGTAGCTGTCAGGGAGATTGGAAAGTCTCTGGTGGCTGAGTTGTGCCGCAAGATTCTCGCTGCTGGTATTCACCACTTGCACTTTTATACCATGAACCTCGCTCAGGCGACCCGCATGGTGTTGGAGGAGCTCGAATGGATGCCTTCAGCCGAGAGGCCGCTCAAGCAGGCGCTCCCCTGGAAGCAATCCCTGGGTCTCGGACGCCGCGGCGAGGATGTCCGGCCCATTTTCTGGCGCAACCGCAACAAGTCGTACATTGCCCGTACCCAGGAATGGGACGAGTTCCCCAACGGTCGCTGGGGTGACTCTCGGTCACCAGCTTTCGGTGAGCTGGATGCCTATGGTATCGGCCTAACCGGCACCAACGAGCAAAATCGCAAGAAGTGGGGTGAACCAACTTGCATTCGGGATATTGCCAACCTCTTTGTGCGGTACCTGAACAAGGAGATTGATTATCTCCCATGGAGTGAGGCTCCAGTGGCCGACGAGGCTGATCAGATCAGAGACCAGCTAATTGATCTCAACAAGCGGGGTCTGATTACCGTAAACTCGCAGCCTGCTGTCAACGGTGTAAAGTCGACCCATCCGGTCCACGGATGGGGCCCTTCAAACGGTTATGTCTATCAAAAGGCATATCTCGAGTTGCTGGTGTCTCCAGAGGTCTTCTCTGTGATTCAAAGCCGCATCGAGGACAATCCTGACCTGACTTACCACGCCGTGACCAAGTCTGGAAATCTTCACACTAACGCCAGATCTGAGGCACCCAATGCCGTCACATGGGGTGTTTTTCCTGGCAAGGAAATTGTACAACCTACAATTGTGGAGAGAATCAGTTTTCTCGCCTGGAAGGATGAGGCGTTCCAGCTTGGATCTGATTGGGCCCGTTGCTACGAGGCCAATAGCCCTAGCCGTCTTTTGCTAAGTGAGATCATGGAGTCATGGTACTTGGTAAATATCGGTGAGTTTTGTTAACGCCGTCCATGATTTCTGCACCGGGTGCTGACAATGTTTTCACAGTGAACAACGATTTCCATCAAGGAGATACCCTTTTCGAAGTCCTAAGTGGCCTGGAAGCCCCTGGCTTGGATAAGGTACCAGAACCCCCAGTCAACGGGGTCTCAGACGGCGTTCACCAAAACGGTGGCCACACCAACGGCGTCGAAGCTTCAACATAATGCCTCTGACGTCTTGCCTTGCTAGATCAGCCGCTCAACCAACAACGAGCTGGTAATGCCGCAGGCTTAATATTTTTCAACATTTTGCATGACATAACTAATTTCAACCTCCCAAGTTGCAACTACAGTAGATACACTTTAATATCCATCATCCATCCGCAAGCACACAGCCTGGGGTTTTGGCTCGCGGGGAAAGAAAGAGAGGGGTGAAAGGGTTGAGGGGCGACGAAACGCAAGCATTTTATGTAACGGTTTTCAACACAGCATTTTGACATCACAGCAAGCATTTATACTCGGGGCGTTTCGATTTATGGAGAGGCGAATAAAAAAGGGTCTTGATTTTTCAACAAAAATGGGAAAGCCCGGTGGGCTGGGTTGGGGCTAAGGTTGGGTCTGAATGGATGGATGGATGGATGGGACATTTAACATAGAATGGAGAAGAAGGGCAGCGCAGGAGAGTGAGAAGAAGAAAGAGGGAAAGGGGGAAAAAGACGGCCCTAGGTGTGTTGATTAGGTCGATTTACTTTTTTGAGACAAAACTTGATATCTCAACGATATGATAGATACCCCAGGGGAGACCATCACAAGAAGAGAATGTTAGAAAAATGGGTTTCAGTTCTTTTAAACTTTTCCGGGTCACAATAGCGGTGGTGCATTAGTGTCAAGAATTTCTTCTTGATTTCTGATGCCATCCAGAACAAAATGCATAGACCGTCACATTTGAGAATAGTATTGACCTTGAGGAGAGTGCTCAAGAACAGGTCTTGAACATTGGGTTTAGATTGGGAGCAATAGACAAACAGATGGAACTCAAGGTTGCTATCACTAGGAAAACTAGTTACGAGGAGGGAAAGAATTTGGGAGTGACTGGTCAAATCCAAGCCAAAAAAAAAAAAAAAAAAAAAAAAAAAAAAAAAAAAAAAAAAAAGAAAGAAAGGAAGAAAACACATATTCCAAACCCTCTGTTTGTATAAACATACATTGTTGATTGTGCTCGTGTCCATATCGAGGTGCTCCAATTCTTGTTCACTTACCCAGGTACCTACCTAGTTGCTCCCACCCTCAGCAGCAGCAGCAGCAGTAGTAGTCTCATTACTCGTCTCAGCCCGCTTTTCAACGTCATCTTTTCCCTCGTGCTTCTTGACGCTCTTCCACCCCATACCCCAGGCAAACAAAAATGA